TCCAAAGGTTCTTAGGACAATAGAGATATTTGGTTTAGAGGTATTTTGGGGCTTCTAGAACATTTTAGTATGCTCAGAAAAATGAGGACATATGTAAAGCGTCCTCATATTTCTACGCGTCCTGATATTGAAGGTGTGTATTCACAAAATTAAAAAATCCGGATATATCATGAAAACAAACACCCACACCCACACACACACACTCATACGTGTTTTCATCATATACAAGGACACATGACAGAAATGGGACAAATGTTTAGGTGGCTTTCCAAAGGTTCTTAGGACAATAGAGATATTTGGTTTAGAGGTATTTTGGGGCTTCTAGAACACTTTAGTATGCTCAGAAAAATGAGGACATATGTAAAGTGTCCTCATATTTCTACGCGTCCTGATATTGAAGGTGTGTATTCACAAAATTGTCCTGATATATCATGAAAACAAACACACACACACACACACACACGTGTTTTCATTATATACAAGGACACATGACAGAAATGGGACAAATGTTTAGGTGGCTTTCCAAAGGTTCTTAGGACAATAGAGATATTTGGTTTAGAGGTATTTTGGGGCTTCCAGAACACTTTAGTATGCTCAGAAAAATGAGGACATATGTAAAGCGTCCTCATATTTCTACGCGTCCTGATATTGAAGGTGTGTATTCACAACATTGTCCTGATATATCATGAAAACAAACACACACACACACACACACACACACACACACACACACACACACACACACACACACACACATACGTGTTTTCATTATATACAAGGACACATGACAGAAATAGGGCAAATGTTTAGGTGGCTTTCCAAAGGTTCTTAGGACAATAGAGATATTTGGTTTAGAGGTATCCTGATATAGTCTGAAAACAAACACACACACACACACACACACACACACACACACACACACACCTTCTCCAGGCACTGGATCTGCTGCCTCTGCCTGTCGTCCAGCGCCTGGCTCTGGCTCTGCAGGGCCTCCCGCTCCTCCTCCATTCGCCCCACTTTGTCCTTCAGGCGGCTGCGCTCGTTGTCCAGGTCCCTGATGGCCGCCTCCTGGGTCATCTGGGTGGCCTGCAGGCTGCTAATCTGACCTACGACGGGACAATTATTAACCCGATAATGCCAAATGTGTCATATCTGATACATACGGTTTCTGCAATGTTTTGCGTCCGACACCTTTTGCATAATTTAATGGTAAAAAGTTTGCTAGAAATCCTGTTGTACACAATCAGATACACCTGATAACAGGGGGCAGAAGACTACACAAAAAATAATCTTGATTTATCGCATAGTAATAAATTATTGATATTAAAAATGTATTTCTGTTTTTTCTTTTTACACATTTTGTTAAAAGGCCAAATAAGGAATTTTGCCAAATGTATCATATTTGATTCATACGGTTTCTGAAATGTTTTGCGTCTGACTCCTTTTGCATAATTTAATGGTAAAAACTTTGATCAAAATCCTATTGTACACAATCAGATACACCTGATAACAGGGGGCAGAAGACTACACAAAAAATAATCTTGACTTATCACATAGTAATAAATTATTAATATCAAAATGTATTTTTCTTTTTTCTTTTTACATATTTAGTTAAAAGGCCAAATAAGGAATTCAAACCAAAAAAAAGTAATTTTCTGTTTTGTTTTCTTCTTGGATCAGGCTTTAAAGGGTTAAACGAGCCGCTGGCAGAATTTGGTCCCCAGTGGCTGATTTTTCTTTTTCATGAGACTGAAAGCCAGCGAAAAAATATATTAAAAAAACTAAACGAAACTATTGTCAGATAATTCTGACGTGAATTATAATTCCTTCCTGTTTCCCTTCCTGGAGAACGGCCTCTTGACTGCCACCCTTCCATGGAGAGCTTTTCTGATAAGGCTCGATTCACAAACAAAAAAAAACTCCAGAGACATCCAGCTACAAAAACTGGACTGAAACAGAGAGAAAAAGAAGCCAAAAATCTAGAGAAAGACAGAAGGTCTGTCGGAAAACACCAAAAAAGAAAAGCTGTTTGCAAACTACTTTTAGTTCTTAGTTTAATAGTTTAAGTTTTTAAATCTATAAATCTATAAATCTATTTATTATTTACAGGAAAATGTACATTTGTAACTATTCAGAATGCTGAAATCTTCATTTTCTATAAAGTTCTACTTTAAAAAATCTACTTCTAACAGCACATTTGGGGGAAAAGTGATGAAATAAATAATACAATTCTAAATAAAAAGGAAAAACTGGGCAGAAAAGCCCCAGAGAGGCTTTGTGAGTGGCTGAATGTGACTGTCACGGCCAGTTAATGACTGGATCTGATTAGAGCCTCTCACATGGAATCAGCTCCAAAAGATAAAACTTCTGAATGAGCTAATGAGACCGGGAGTGATTCAGCGCTAAGTGTTTGAGACGCTGATGTTTAGGGCCAAACACACAGACTTTGGAGGGTGTTAAATCCCACGGGAAGCAGAATTATTCCAGATATAAAAGCGGGAAAAGATGGGAACGGGAAACCGGGAAGGCAGCTGCTGTTTGATGCGTTTTTGGGGAAAAGGGGAAAAGTGGGGGGGCTCTTACTGCAGTGTAGAAAATCATCCTGTTTCACCTAATTGGTCTAAAAAGATTTTTTGATAAGGAATTAATTATCTGCCAATCATTTTTGAGTCTCTGTGCTGTTCTACTGACTGGTGGCGTAATCATGTAATAATTCCTTATGACTAGATTTTGTATTTAATTTTGTATATTGAAGTGGACATGTTAAGAGCAATTTGAAAGAAGAAATATAGAATATGATTAAAAATAAATTTTGTGTTTATTTGATTCCTATTCAAGACACTTAAAATAAGACTTAGACTTTAGAATTTATTGTCATTGTACAAAAAACACAGGGTGAATCTTGACAACGAAATGTTGATGACTTGATAAGATAAGAATAACTATAGTGTAACTATAGGCGGCTACAGATTTGTTTGACATTTTTGGTTGGTGGTGTGCCTCGGGATTTTTTCAATGAAAAAAAAGGTTGAAAACCACTGTCTTACTGGCTTTGAGCAGGATCTCGGTGGCCTGCTGCTGGACTCGGTCTCGCGCCGCCTCCAGCTCGCACTCCGCCTCCTTCTGCCGGATTTCCACGATCTCCGAGTTCTGCGTCACCTCGTCCAGCTGCCGGTTTAAATCCTGCCAACCGGTCAAACCCAGAAGGGGAGAGACAGGGTTAAGAGAGATCCACTCCCCCTTCGGACCCGGTGAGGCAGCTGCCCTAACACACAAACATCGCATCACACCGAATCTTTAACTCATTGGCTGCCAAAGAAGTCTATAGACATCTTTTATGTTTTTCAACAAGAGTGGCTGGGGGACGTTCTGCTAAAGCTTGTCCGTAAATATCAGGCTTCTAGACAGAGTATGTAGTAACAAATTGACCCTCTAGGTGGCAGTGCCACTTTTGATGGGAGATGAGCATAGACTGTAGGCAAATAAGGAAAAGGTAACGGTTCTATGAGAGAACATGTCGCCGGTGAGACGCAAGTCGAGGAAGAACGGAATAAGGTAGAAACAATTTTTTTTCCTGATGAAAGAAGACAGTCTACTCTTTCTTTTGGTGTGTTCGGTGTTTACATAGTCATAGCACAAACTGTTCTGTGGCTCTTGAAAAATCAGTCAAAAAGCTCAAAAAACTCTGGCAGTATGGGACTCTGTTCTGAAAATGGTTGGCAGTTAATGAGTTAATGAGCTCCTAAATCTCCCGCTTCTCTGACTCTGTTAATAATAGAACAGAGTCGGTTTCAGCTGCTTTGAAGTGACCAAAGTAAGAGCTCAGGGAAGATGGGCCCCCTATAGGCCCAAAGCCGGCCCCCTATAGGCCCAAAGCCAGCCCCCTCTAGGCCCAAAGTCGGCCCCCTCTAGGTCCTAACCCGGCCCCCCCTAGGTCCTAACCCGGCCCCCTTTAGGCCCAAAGCTGGTTGGTGCCTTCAGCAGGCTTGTGCAGAGCTTTTTTTACCAATTCCATCAGAAACCATCAGAGGACATTACAGCAGGAGGCAAACGCTGTTCACCGATCCTGATCCTGATCCTGAGCTCGTTTCTGAACCAGTTTCATCGGAGCAAACGCTGTTTTTTGTGCGTCTGAGGAGGCCTGAGATGTTCCCGGGCGGCCCGATGAGTCGCAGCAGATTGAGAGCCTGTTCAGACATTTCCGGCCCGCAGACGGAGGCGTGTTGGTGCCTTATTATTAATGCCGGGGATCAGGAATGGAAATCCAGACGGCTGCTCAGTTAATGTGGGACAGGGCTTTGGGAGGGACACACACACACACACATATACACACACACACACATATGCGCACACACACAAACATGCACACACACATACGCACACACACTTACGTACGCACACACTCACACACACCCACATATACGTACGCACACACTCACACACACACACACACCCACATATACGTACGCACACACACACACACACACACATACGCACACACATACGCACACACATACGCACACACACACCCACATATACGTACGTACGCACACACACACACGTGCGCAAACACACACATACGCACACACACATCGAACATCCACACACACACACATACGCACACACACATACGCACACACACATACGTACGCACACAGAATAATCACACCCACACACACACAAACACACCCACAAACACACACATACGTACACACACACAAACACACGCACCCACACCCATACATACGCACACCCACACACACACAGACACACACAGAATAATCTCAGTGGGTAGGTGATTTAACACTCTGTAAGAACTCATGAGAGGCAATTTCACATCTCTCATTCCCACCGAACAGCCGTCCTAAAACCTAATTACGGCTGCGGCGGCTAAGACAATGAAGCCTCAGAGTGATGATGATCACTGCGGAGGCTCGACACACACGCACACACGCACAGACACACACACACACACACAGACACACACACAGACACACACACAGACACACACCGCCTTCCCCGCGAGGCCCAGAGCAGCTAGCTGCAAACTCCGACTCAGATTCAGGCCTGAGTCCGTTCCCCGGTTCCTAACGGCCGCTAGCCTGCAGGCTTTGGGGCGTTTAAAGGGGACATATCATGCAAAACCAAGTTTTTAATCATTTGATTATGTACATTTGGGACTGTGGATGGCCTATCAGCAGGCAAAGTGTGAAAAAAAATGACTCAGTCATGTTTTTTGTGGGCTGCCTCAGTCTGAATCCAGGAGATAAATCAGGAGGTTTCAGGAGTGGGTAGTTTCTGACGTCATTAGCTCTAGCTCATTATAATATTCCAGCCTTTCACCTGCATGTTGCCCCCCCCCCTCAGCTTACTCCCCTATCTGTGGAGACGTCCTGGTAGCGTGAGCGTTAGCATGGTAGCGTTAGCGTGGTAGCGTTAGCATTGTAGCGTTAGCGTGCCGACATGGGCACGCCTCCCGGAAGAAGTGGGTGGATTGCCTGTGTCTCATTTGCATTTAAAGAGACAGGCACTCCAAAGCGAGCGCTCTGAACGGGGCTGTTTTGGGTTAGGGTTAGGGTTAGGGTTGGGGTTAGGGTTAGGGTTAGGCAGGGGGACTGAACTGCTATTGGGCTTCATCCTTATGGGATTTTGACCAAAGATTGTCACAGACATTACATTAGGACACCAGGGAACTAGCTTAACTTGTTGAAATAGGGTATAATATGTCTCCTTTAGGGCACCATATCACCGTCGGGGAGCCGTCAGCCTTTCGTTCGGAGCTTAACGATGTTCTCAAATGACCCATTTAATCAACAGCACACCCCTGAAATCACAACGTGTCCTAATTCCTGACGCGATGACGCAGGCCCCCCCCCTGAAATTATTGTTTCAGGGCAGTCAGATAAAAAGCTGCTTTCGGCCGGCTCATTGCTGTAAAAGAGTTAGCCAGTTTAGCTAACTTTGAGCTAAAAGAGCCACGAGCTTGTTTTTTGAGCTCTTTGGTTTCCAGGCCATTTTCATGGTCTGTTTTTTTTCTCGGTCGGCTGTTTCTGCCTGTTTTCTGGATTGTGTTTGTCAGGTCTTCAGCGGTTATAGCTTCCCTCATTTTTTATCCTCGTCTTCCTCGGCCTTCAGCAGTCCACCCCGACTCAGCGGAAATCATCCACTCGTCACTCCCCCGAAGTGTTTAAGCTCCATCCTTTCCCTCAGTCCTCTTCGCTGTCATCAGCCCGTCCTCTTTAACAGAAGTTGGGTTTGTCTGTTCTTATTCTTATTCTTTTTTTTTTTCAAAGATTGTCTTTTGGGTGTTCTGGCTCACATCTAACCACGACAATTTGTCGTTCTTTGCTCGCATTTGTTTTTACGATGTTCTCTGGACCAAACCTGGGACGAACGCCTCCTGTTCCAGAGTCGTTTTGGCCCCCGGAGGCGGCAGATTTTTAAAAGCCACCACAAAAAAAACAGACGAAAGGGTAAAAAATCCAGTTCAGGGATCTGTCATAAAACAGTTATTAGGTTGAGATTTTTCAGTTTCAAGCATAAAACCCACAAAAATTGATCACAAGAAAAGGGAAAATATGCAAAAGCTTCAGTCTAACGGGGGTCTCTCTGGGTCTCCCACCATCGAAAAACATGTTAGTTTAATTGGATATCATAAGTTGACCCTAAGAGGGATTTAACTTGAGCGTTTTTGAATGAAAGGGAGCATCTTCAAGGACCATTTTTCCCCGAAAAAGAGGCTAAATGGCTTTAATGGGAAGTGCTTCACCCTAAGAAAATGCTCTTTGACCTCAGGCTGTGGCAGGTTTTGGTTCAGGGTGATGGAAACCTACACTGTCCCCACAAGAATAGGAAACAAACTCAGCATCACAAATTCGTTCGCCGACCCAGCAAATTTTTTTGCTCTTACTGTTTTTAATCTTTAAGTTTGTCTTGTGTGGAGGTGATAATTGTGTTTTGTGATTCGCTCAAATGGCCTGTACAGCGCTTTGATTTTAGCTTTGGCTGACTGAAAGCGCTTTATAAATAAAGTTGAGTTGAGTTGAGAGTTGAGCTAATAGCCGAGCTACATTTAGCCGTTAGCTGTGAGTCACCCGAACCCCGTCTAAACCTGAAACATCCGGATGAGGATCCTCGGATGATTAATTGCTCCCATCTCTCCAGAAGCTTCCACCTTCCGGTCCCGACAGATTAGAAATATTTAGTCCGAAAGGCAGCATCGATTCACCGTGGAGTATGTCACAGTGGAGTATTTCACCCGGGGGATAATTTGTCATCTTTGCGTTCAGGTTTTGAGCCGGCGGCCATTAATTACGTCCGACCGGCGGCTTTCTGCCTTTTCTCTGGAGCTTCGCCCCCTTAATCAGAAGCAGATCTCCGTTATGCAACGGAACGGAAATCGAACCTAAGGTTGAGCCTTTTTGTCTTTTAGCTGCTAAAGGTCAAAGGTTAAACGCCGCTGTCTCCCCACGGAGATGCGGAGGGATGAGAAACCAGCCCTTTCATCCTGTAAAATCAGTTCTAATGTAAGAGAAGCTGTGGGGCTGTAAGGGGCCTGCTTTGTTTTCTTTATCTTCTGTTTCTGGGTTACGTAATTGCCTTCTGAGGCTGAACCCCGGGCGCTCGCAGCAGCTTCTGCTGACCTGGATCTCGCTCCTCTATCACTTCGGTGCAATCAACGATAATTTCAGTACACACACACACACACACACACAAACACACACACACCCTCAAGGATTCTTCTGCAGCTAACGGCAGATCTGCTTGTTTGTCGGGACCATCAAGAGGGTTTTTTTCCCCCCCAAAGACCTCAGATTAATCCAAAAGTGGAGTTCGCAAATTAAAAAGAGGCGGATTCAGGTGGGAAATAAACAGTGGTGTCACTTCTGCTCCGTTAAAGAGGCGGCGTGCAGGTTTCCGGGCAGGAAAACGCAGGTCATGGTATCAGTGGAGCTCTGAGCTGCTCTGGCTATGAGATGAATTCATGAAATGAAACGTTTCTGTCAACGAAACTAACATTATTAACTCGATGCCGACACTCAGGAAAATAATCGATACTCGATACCACAAGGATAAAAACAAAGACATCAAAATTTAGCTGAATTTTGACAGGTTAGTGTCTTTCGTTTCAAACTTAGTTATTATTGATCCCGGTGGTCCACATTAATGTTGGCGTGTTATTGTTAGCCATTAACCATAGCTAGCAATCCAAGGCTAACGTCACGTTAATGATCATAAACAACATAAATAAATAAATCAGAAAGAAGGGGGAGGTATGGATACTTTTAAAAATGAGTATCGTATCCGGATACAACGTTTTAGCATCGATACTTTTTTGAGTATCGACACTTTTGACAACCCTAATTTTGATAGGGAATTACTTTTCCAATTAGGTTCTCCAATTATGTTTTTGGGGGGAGCTGAAGGCGTCTCTGATCTAGATCTTTAGCGTTAACCCCGCTTAACTGATTGATTGCCAAAGACGTCTATAGACGTCTTTTATGTTTTTCATTGAGAGTGGCTGGGGGACGATCTGCTAAAGCTTGTCTATAAATATCGGCTTCTAGACAGAGTATGTAGTAACAAATTGACCCTCTAGGGGGCAGTGCCACTTTTGATGGGAGATGAGCATAGACTGTAGGCAAATAAGAAAAACGCAATGGTTCGCTATGCGCCGGTCATACGCAAGTCCAGGAAGAACGGAATAAGCTAGAAACACATTTTTTTTTCCTGATGAAAGAAGAGAGTCTACTCTTTCTTTTGATGTGTTCGGCGTTTACATAGTCATAGCACAAACTATTTTGTGGCTCTTGAAAAATCAGTCAAAATGCTCAAAAAACTCTGGCAGTATGGGACTCTCTGTTCTGAAAATGGCTGCCAGTCAATGAGTTAACCTGACGGTTTTGGGCCCCCTTTTCCCGTCCTCTTACCTTGACGCTGCCCTCGGCGGTGGTGAGCGAGGCCTGCAGCTTGTGGGACCTCTCCCGGTTCTCCCGGGCCTCCTCGGTGACGCGGGCCAGCTCGGCGCGCAGCTTCCCCAGCGTCTTCTGCAGCGCGGCCTCCTGCGTCTGGAACTCGCGCCGCAGCTCCGCCTCCGTGCGTTTCCATGCCAACAGGTTGTCGGCCGTCAGCTGCTGCGTTCTCTTCATCGCCTCCAGCTCGCGCTCGTAAAACGCCTGGGCCTGCGGAGCGTCAGGGATTTGGTTATAAATGCTGCCCCCGTGTTCCTGCTCTGTTGCCGTCATAACTTCTGCCATCATCATTAGTATTAATATCATTGCTCTAGATTACCTTTAATGAAATCTAATTTGTTGTCGTTCTTATTTCTTGTGTAATTTGTGTTGTGAAATTACGAAGTTAGATGAATATTTCTTTATGTTTGAAGAAAGCGTTTTATTTTGAAGGGCTCTCGGGAGACCTCGGGACTGTCGAGGAACGTTGGAAAAACGTTAGAAAACAAACGGTCGCTAAATTAAGGTGTCAAAAAGGTTACTTAAAAGTATTAGCTCCTGGCTAAAAGGGCTATTAGCCGGGGACGCTACAATTGCCATTTTTCATCTAGTCTATGTGTTACTGTTGGCTGCCTCTCTCTCTCTCTCTCTCTCTCTCTCTCTCTCTCTTTCCCTCTCTCTTTCCCTCACCCCCAACCGGCCGAGGCAGATGGCCGCCCACCCTGAGCCATGGTTCTGCTCGAGGTTTCTGCCTGTTAAAAGGAAGTTTTTTCTTGCCTGTGTCGCCTAGTGCTTGCTCATGGTGGGAATTGTTGGGTTTCTGTAATTAACTTCAGAGTAGGGTCTGACCTGCTCTGTTTGGAAAGCGCTGTGAGACAACTGTTGTTGTGATGTGGCGCTGTATAAATAAAATTGAATTGAATTGAAATTGAATAAATACACACTTTAGCATTGTTTGCTATCACATGATCTATGTAGATTACTGATTGTTTTATTTCTTTTATCAGCTACAGTGGGGGAAATAAGTATTTGACCCCTTGCTGATTTTGCAGGTTTGCCCACTTACAAAGAATGCTTATTTATATATATAATGTAAAAAGAGTTTGTTCCATATTCAATGTTAAAGCTAAATTAATTTCGTTCCATATTAGAAGGTTAATTTGTTCAATCTTGGCCCGTGGCTTTGTTCAGGTTTTACATTTTGGCCCTCTGTGTTTTTAAGTTTGACACCCCTGCTCTATGGTATGATTTTTTTTCGTTGGGGAGAAAATCTCATCCCCTTTTTCAGGACCTCATATAGTCATCCCAAAACCTGAGAAGTGGAATGAAAACTAGATCATTTAGACAAAGATAAACAGTTACAGACAGCATGTTTAACCAAGAAGTTCTTTAACATTCAAGAAACATCTGGACAAACATCTAAAATCGACATTTCTTATGTTTTTCTTATGTCTCTTCTTCTTCCTCCACATAAAGATAAAAGTCTGGATATGTGCTTTGTTGCCTGAGGGCTACACCAGGCCATAGAGAGCTGGATGAACATCTAAAGCTTTACAATAAATCCTTGTTTCTGTGTAAAACAGAACCCTTCCCTTTCCTACAGTTCCTTTTTTACAGGTAAATCCTCCTCTTTCTATAACACATTTGCATAAACACGCACATCTAGTGATGCTTATCATCTGATTTATCGCCTGGTGTGAGCATTTAGAAGCTAATAAATATATGAGCCAGATAAATGAACGCACACAAAGCAGCTCTCTGGGTGTAATTACAGCCTCATGCATCAAAGCTGTCAGAAAACAGGAGCGCCGATCCAGCTTTTTTCACTTCCGATCCCGATCCCGGCCTATCAGAGCATGTGTTAAAGTTTAAAGTTATTTATCTACTTACTTAGATGTCAGACTCATGTTGAACAGGGATTTACTCTGATAACAACCTAATGGTTCAGACACAGACCTGTGGGTTAGCAGATGCTAATGCTAATGTGGGATCAGACTCAAAAAAAAAAACTGGATCTGGAGTCTGGATCTGCATTTTCTCCTGCCGGCCGATACGCAGTTTTTTGGAAATATCGGACCAGCCTAGTCCATATTTAGGCTTTTTTCCCACCACAGTCCAGAGCCTTAAAGCATCTGCCTCGGCCGGTTGGGGACAGAGAGAGAGAGAGAGAGAGAGAGAGAGAAGGACAGAGGGAGGCAGCCTACACAGTAACACACAGACTGGATGAAAAATGGTAAAGATATTGATAGTAATGATAATGATAGCAGTAATAATAGCAATAAGACTATGAACAGGGGCTGTAATTGTAGCAGAGGAGGAAAGTGGGAGAGTCCAGTTAGTGACACCGTTAATGGGATGAAGTTGCACTGGGAGGGAGGGATTTCCCAGTGCATCATGGGAAATCCCCCGGCAGTCTGAGCCCATAGCAGCATAACTAGGGCTGGACTCACCCCGACTATTAGCTCCATCATAGAGGAAAGTCTTCAGCTACTAATAAGACTATGAACAGAATTGTGGCAGAGTAGGAACAGGGGGGGGGGGGGGGGGGGGGGGGAGCCCCAACCACAAACCCAAACCCCACAGCTCCAGGAACATCTACAGGAAGTGATAGGAGGAGACTCCTGCCTGATCACGGGCTGAAATACCTTGCTGAGTTTGGCCTCGTACTCCTCCACCAGCCGCTTCTTGTCCTGCTTGAGCTCCTCCACCCGCTCCGTCAGGGACTCCACCTGGGACACAAACGCCCAGCTTTAGGGATGGGACGGTTTCTGAAAACCGTCCGAACCGTTGGGTTCTGTCTCGGTTCGGTTGGCGTGTGTTGCGTTCGGTTCATGCTGCTCCTTTTTCTCAGAGGGAAGCGTTTACTACTGCGCCCAAAGCCAACCACCAGTAGTGAACAAGAAGAAGAAGCAAAGCAGCTAGCCGATAAAAATCAGATGCGCTAACAGCAGTTTCTAGGTCTGCTGTATGGACCACTTTGCATTTAGAGGGAAGCACATGTTGGAATTAGCACTGTTTCCTCGCTTGCAATGCCAGAATCTCACCTACTTTTAACCTAAGACTGTCACAATAACGTATCAAATGTCAGACTGCTTTTTTTATTTCAGTTTTAACCTGACTATACAAGACATAATAGATTTTCCTACCAATCAACATATACCGAACCGAACCGAAAACCGTGACCACGAAAACGTGAATCGAACCGAACCGTGGATTTTGGGAACCGTCCCACCCCTAATTTAGAGGGAAGCACATGTTGGAATTAGCACTGTTTCCACTCTTGCAATGCCAGAATCTCACCTACTTTTAACCTAAGACTGTCACAATGATGGATCAAATGTCAGACTGCTTTTTTTCTTTCAGTTTTAACCTGACTATACAAGACATAATAGATTTTCCTAACAATCGACATATACCGAACCGAACCGAAAACCGTGAACCGAACCGAACGGTGGCTTTTGTGAACCCCTAATCTAAACCCCACCTCGGCCTTGTGCAGCTGGCCCAGCTTCTCCTGGTCCTTGCTGTAGTTGGCGTTCTGGCTCTGGTGGCTGAGCAGCAGCTCCTGGACCTCCTGCCGGTGCTGGGCCTTCAGCTCCTCCAGGGCCGCCCGCTTCTCCTGCTCGAACTGGGCCTGCGCCTGGCCGAAGGTGCGCAGCTTCTCCTCGAAGGAGCGCCGCATCTCCTCCACCTCCCGGGACATCGACACCACGCGCTGCGTGTGCTGCCGGGAGACACCGGGGTTTTGGGGTTTTCAGGGTTCTTAAGACAACATTATCCCTATAATGCCAAATGTGTCATATTTGATAGATACGGTTTCTGAAGTCTTTTGGATCTGAGACTTTTTGCATCATTCAGTGGTAAAAGCTTTGCTCAAACCCCTGTTGAACACATTCAGATATACCTGATAACAGCCAGTAGAAGACTACACCAAAATATGTTTTTGACCTATTGCACGCTAATTTGATAAAAATATATATATTTTTTTTCTTCATATGTTGTTGAGGGGCCAAAGAAAGACTTCAGACAAAAAAAATCCAATATTCTTCCTATTTTTCTTGGATCAGGCTTTAAAATAGACTGAAGATAGAAGTATTTTTTCTATTCAACACTAACCCTATAATTCCAAATGTATCATAATTGATACGGTTTCTGAAGTCTTTTGGATCTGAGGCTTTTTGCATCATTCAGTGGTAAAAGCTTTGCTCAAACCCCTGTTGTACACATTCAGATACACCTGATAACAGCCAGTAGAAGACTACACCAAAATACATTTTTGACTTATTGCACGCTAATTTGATCAAATGTGCTGCCGGGAGACACCGTTTTTTTGGGGGTTTTCAGGTTTCTTAGACAACTTTATCCCTATAATGCCAAATGTGTCATATTTGATAGATACGGTTTCTGAAGTCTTTTGGATCTGAGACTTTTTGCATCATTTTTGCATCATTCAGTGGTAAAAGCTTTGCTCAAACCCCTGTTTTACACATTCAGATATACCTGACAACAGCCAGTAGAAGACTACACCATAATACATTTTTTACCTATTGCACGCTAATTTGATCAAAATAATTCTGTTTTTTCTTCTTCATATGTTGTTGAGGGGCCAAAGAAAGACCTCAGACTAAAAAAATCCAATATTCTTCCTATTTTTAGGATAACAGACAGCTGAGTTTGAATTGGGTGGCTGACAGCTGCATTTTTACCTTTCTTTATCAGAAAAACATTCACATGCGGTTCATTTTGAGCTGTATTTAACTTATTTTAAGACCAAATGTTTTATTTATTTATTATTCTGAGAAAAAAGATGATTAAAAGATGATTTAAATCACTTTATAATTCAACGGAAACCCCGATTGCATCCGTTTTTATTCTTAATTTGTGTGAATGAGTAGACTAAAGCCCATATAGGTTAATCTGAATACAGATTAACCCCCCCCCAGGCTACCTGAGCCTCGGTGCAGAGCTGCATGTCCTCCACTCTCTGCCGGTAGCTCTCGAACTCGGCCAGCGCCTGCCTCTTCATGCGCTCGTGCAGCTCCATGGACTCCTCCAGCGACTGGATCCGCCTCTTCAGGTCCATCTCGTCGCTGATCTTGCTCTTGTACTGGGACAGAGGAGCAGAGGTCAGTTCGGTGAACTGCAAACCCCCCCAATCGAGAGAGGGAAAACCATCAGAATCTGCCTCCTGGTTCCCTTATCGGAGATTATCGTAGGTTTAAATTAGGGTTGTCACGATACTAAAATGTTCAACTCGATAGATACTCAGGAAAATATTCGATACTCGATACCATTTTCGATACCACAAGGATAAAAACAAAGACCCCCAAAATTTAACTGAATTTTGACAGGTTAGTGTCTTTGGTTTCAAACTGACCGATTACTGATGTTATGGTGGCCCACATTAATGACCCTAACCCTGACCCTTCATAATTGTGAGAAATAAATATTTTTTGGTTAAACTTGTTTGGACTTATTCTACAAACCTATTTAACATCCACTATTTTAACATAATATTATGGATAGAGTTTAATTCAGTGTTTGCAAGATTAATTTCACTATTTTTAAATTAATGTCTATATTGCCATGAAGCAATTAGGATTTTCTTGCCTGGGATCTTCCTATTGGTGACCTAATCAAAATGGCCGACTTGGATCTCCATCCTTGGCTTCCTGCAGACTGCAGCCAGACGGAGTTGATTAATGTTGGCGTGTTATTATTAGCCGTTAGCCGCAGCCAGCAATTCAAGGCTAACGTCACGTTAATGATCATAAACAACGTAAATAAATATATAGGAGAGAAGGGGGGGTATCAGTACTTTTAAAAATGAATATAGTATCCGGATACAATGTTTTAGTATCAATACTTTTGACAACCCTAGTTTAAATGTGTACAAATATTATTTTAATGGATTAATGGATCTATTTGGCCATGACTTTCCTCAGTTTGAAAACAGAATGAATCAAAAATCTTTAAATAAGGAAGTGACACCTTCATCTGGAAAGTTTAATGTTGTGGTTTGGACTCTTTGTATCTCGGAGGAACAAAGAAGCGGAAAGTTTCACTCAAGCTAATCAACACTTGCACATTTGCCGCTTTTTAGTGGGATTACAGACACATTAGCGACTTTCAAAGGAGAGAGGGGGAAGTTGTAACACAAAACAGAGTAAAAGTGGAACATTTCACAACTAATTAGGCTTCGGCTCGCTCAGAGGATGAGTCCTTCTCTCTGTGAGAAAATGAACCATCGGCCGGAGCGTTTCTCAGCGTAAAACCAGATGAAGTCTCATTAGTGATTTCAGACTGTTTTTGAATGCCTTAAAACAGACGTCTGTGGGGTTTGAGGAGCACCTCTCATTGTGAGTGAAGAGCTCGTTAATGCTCCGGTTAAAACCACAGGCGGAGGAAAAAGACTCGGCTTTTCTGGACCCCGCTTATTGGACATGAAACTGAAGTGGAAACTGACAAACTGAGCTCTAAAAGGAGGAAAAAAGTGAACCCAGCTTTTTGCTTTATCCCACTTAAACAAAAGGAAAACACTTCCAGCAACAAAATACTCAAATAGCTGAGCTGCTGGAATCAGATAAGAACCGGAAATCGGCCTCTATAGCGGAAAAGAACAACTGGATTTAAACGAGTTGCTGCATTTAAAAATAATCTGGTCGTCTTTCGGGTTTTATATGCTTCCCTGCCTCACATCGACAGGTGTTAGCAGGCTAAGGTTCATTAACCCATGTTAGGGGAATCAATATATGTACAATCACTTTCTTATTTTCTCTCTGGTAACTTTCCACAATTGAAGATTTGAAAGGTTCTTTCCTCCTTCAAGGTCTCTTATTTTGTGCTAAGATCAGTTTTGAAAATAAAGGACCCAATTATGAAGGCTGGAAGTTTAGGGTTAGGGTCAGGGTTAGGGTTAAGGTCAGGGCCAGGGTCAGGATCAGGGTTAGGGTTAGGGTCAGGGTTAGGGTTAGGGTTAGGGTCAGGGTTAGGGTTAGTAATAGGGTTAGCTTTAGGGTTAGGGTCAGGGTCATAACATAATATTATGTTAAAATAGTGAATGTTAAATAGGTTTGTACAATAAGTCCAAACAAGTTTAACCCAAAAAAATTTATTTCTCACAATTATGAAGGGTGGAGGGTTAGGGTTGGGGTTAGGGTTAGGTTTAGGGTTAGGGTCATTAATGTGGGCCACCATAACATCAGTAACAAGTCAGTTTGAAACCAAAGAAACTAACCTGTCGAAATTCAGTTAAATTTTGGGGTCTTTTGGGGTTTTTATCCTTGTGGTATCGAGTATTGATTATTTTCCTGAGTATCGGTGTCCAGTTGAACATTTTAGCTAACGTCTATCCCTGATAACATAACGGGGGAAGGGTGGGTATCCACCTGCAGGATCTTCTCTCTGGTCTCAGACAGGATCTGCTGCACCTCCTCCTCGTGCGCCTCCTTCAGGGTGGCGATGGCCGCCTCGTGCTCGTCGTTTTTCGTGTTCAGTGCATAGATGACCTGGAACAGGAAGAGAAAGACTCCGCGTTACATCTGAGAACCCATCCGGTGGGTCTGGAGCTGTGAGTCCGGGTTCAGGGAGCAGAATAACAAATCTGAGAGATGAAAGAACATCTTCAGAAAGCTCAGAACTCTTTAAGTCGTTTTTACAGGATGCAGAGTCGTAAATGAATCATGAGGAACGCTCGATGCTTTACAGAAGTTTTTGGAATATGCTAAATAAAATCTAATGAAACAAACTCTGTGCGAGCTCCATCTTTTGCTGACTAATCGTACAGTCAGAGCCAGCCCGTGTTTCTTTACTGTTTCTGTGGATAGTGGCTGCTTCTCCATATTTTTCAGATTTTTTGTGTTTGTGTTATTTATCTGTTAAGCCAACACAATTTGAAAGACAGGAAACAGGATTTCTAAACAAAACCAAGGCTATTTTGATCAAATGTCAACTTAAAAGCAAAAAATGGCTAAAAATAACACAAAAAATACACAAAAAAATTAAAAACCAGGCTTAAAATGACCAAATATTCACCTGAAAGAAAAAACAAGGCATAAAATCACCTAAAAAATACACACAAAAAATAAAAAACAAGGCTGAAAATGACCAATCATTCACCTAAAAGAAAGAACAAGGCTTAAAATCCTCTAAAAAATAAACCAACAAATAAAAAACAAGGCCTAAAATGACCAAATATTCACCTAAAAGAAAAAACGAGGCATAAAATCACCTAAAAAATACACAAAAAAATAAAAAACAAGGCTTAAAATGACCAATCATTCACCTAAAAGAAAGAACAAGGCTTAAAATCCTATAAAAAATAAACCAACAAATAAAAAACAAGGCTTAAAATGACCAAATATTCACAGAAAAAGCTAAAACAATGCTTAAAATTACAAAAAGAATGACCAAAATAAACAAAAATTGAGCTAAAATGGCCAGAACAAAGCAAAAAGAAGCTAAAATGACCAAAATAGAGCCAAAAGAAGGGTTCCCGAGTTCCCACAGTGGGTCAGAACCTGGATGACTCAGCATTAGAAAAGAAAAAACAGTATTCAGTTAGTATTAATTCCTCTTAGAACCATCTGAGAGTCAAACAGCCACAGGGATTAAGGCCTGTGAGCTGCCAATGAGCAGAGACTCCCTGGAAATGAGCTACCATGATCCCAACAGCTTAATGGATGTACATTTTGAATTGCATATTAAAGCAAGAGATGAGTGAACCCTAAAAATAGATTTAAACTGTCATCATTATAGTTCTGCAAGATCTCATATCTAAGAAGTTTGCAGCTTCTCCGCTTGCTATTAAAAGCATCACACACACTTCAAACTCTTTCAAAACTCAGATTATCTGTATATTCTTCAGTATTTTTAGGCGTGCTAACGACCAGAATTCCTAACAGGAGAACTTAAAACTGAATTACTCACATAGAACTCGCATTTTAATTCTAAATTATCGCACAAATAGAGATTTAGTGCACAACAAATTAACGGATGTGTCTTTTTAAAGACGGAAACAGGTCCTTGTAAATGAAGTAAATGGCTAAATGAAACGTGCTTTTGAGTGAATGCCGGTTAACAAGTAATTTGAACAGATTTGTTAAAGTATAGATGCACTGATTCTGTTTTTTTTAAATAAAAATGAAGTCAGGCTGTGCATGTGCAGGGCTCAGATGGAGGTAAATGAGCTTCCATTATCTTAACAGCTGTACTTAATCTGTATTTTTTGTATTTTTTTGCATTTTGCTCTCTGTGTGCCACTTTTTTGTCCTGTAAGTTGCTGGTAACTTCAATTTCCTGAGGGAGTCTTCCAAAGGGATCAATAAAGTCTAACTCTAAGTCTAAGTCTAAGTCCAAGCCCAAGTCCAAGTATAAATCCAAGTCTAAGTCTAAGTCCAAGTCATAGTCCAAGTCCAAATCTAAGTCTAAGTCTAAGTCCAAGTCATAGTCCAAGTCTAAGTCCAAGTCCGAGTCATAGTCCAA